ACTATTGAAAGTGCCATGGATTGCCAAAAGAACCAATAGATCTGTGTTGGAAGAAGTGCAGCCAGAGTGCTCCTTGGAGGCCAGGATGGCCAAACTTCGTCTCATACTTCGGACATGTTATCAGAAGGGACTAATCACTGGAGAAGGATATCATGTTTGGTAAGGTGGAGGGTCAGAGAAAAAGAGGAAGACCCCAGTGAAATGGATTGGCAAAGTGGCAGTGTCAATGGGCTAAAGCATGACAACAATTGTGAGGTTGGCCCAGGATTGGGAAGTGTTTCGTTCTGTTGTGCATAGGGTCGCTATGAGTCGGTACCAGATCGATGGCACTGTAAAACATTCACTACATATAGGTTAAAATCATTATTCTACCTTCATAAAGAGTCCTGTTGTGTCATTGTAGGATAAGCACTGGATTGAAAGGTCAGTTTGAACCACAAGGTCTACCAGCCACTCCTCAGAAATCCTAAACAGGATTGCTATGAGTTGGAACTGATTTGATGGTATTGAATGACAATAATCACAACACCTCTATAAAGTGAACATTAAATTAGTAATAAAATGTACGACATAAAGTGAAATGTTTAAATGAAAGTAATATTTTCCCATTCCTTTATTTTACATTAAGAATTTATACCTTTTTGATTGAAAGCTAATTTATCATTTGTTTACATTTCAGACTGAATTGATGTGAGCTCATGTCTTTTAAAACAAGATTAATGAAAATCAAATTGTGGATCTGAGCACAGATTATGCCATCAGCTTTGCATAGAGAAAATGTATTAGGTACACAACAATCAGCCTCATCACATATAATATTGAGCTATTAAGCCTAAAAGATAATTTGCTAATTCTAGGTACACTGTTGGTGGCAACTGCCACTGTAAGTGATACAACCATCCCTTGGAAAGTGCCTTGGAACTTTAAAAACAAGAGAAACTTTTCTTCAATGGAAGATTCTTTTATACAGTCTTTTTGCTCAAACTGATAAAACCTTGGATATGTTTGTTTGAGAGTACCTTTAACAAGGAGAACTTTCCTTTTCAAAGTTCAATAATACTAAGATGAATTATCAAACTTATTCAGATAATGAGGTCCCTGGAAACTATTATGTGTTTTCAATTGACCAGGCAATATGATATTTTTAAGTCCTGGTGTGGCACTGTGGGATAATGCACTGGGCCACAAGTTTGGTTTGACTGCAAAGTCGGTGTTTCAAATTTCCAGCCCCTCCTCAGAAACCCTATACAGAGTCACTAAGAGTCAAAATCTACTCAACGTCACTTAACCACAACAGCAACAATAGAGTCCTTTCTCAGCAAACAATTTGTAGAAAAATGATGTAAGAAAATTTCATTCTATCAATTAATTTGATATTTGCTGAACATCAAGTTTGGTTAACTAGGAAAAGATAGTTAATCGAAGTGGCTGGACAACTCAGCTTAACCCATCACCACCACTATTGCCACCAATGGTTTTAGTTTACTTGGTTCTACTCGTGAAAACTCTGTTAATAACACAGAAGAACTATACTACATAGGGTTTTCCAAGCTGTAACTTTTCAGGAGTCCTAGTGTTGTCAGGTGTCCAAGGTCAGTGGTTCAAATCCACCACCTCCTCCTTGGAAAACCTTTGTGAATTGTGATATATAGGGTCAGTATGAGTTGGAGCTGACTCAACAGCACTTACAACAACAACAACAACTTTTCAGGAACACATTTCAAGACCTTTCTCTTGAGGGCTCTGTCTTTGAACTGCCAGAATTTCACTTAGTAGTCCAGCTCTTAACTATTTGCATTACCCAAAGGAATATAAGCAAAGATTTTCTGACACACTTTGCAAATAGTCTGCCCACATCGTCACTCTTTTCCTGAACCTAAGCTTGAGAACTTGGTGGGGCCCTAGCTGCTAAGCAGTGAATCAGAGTGAGGAGTTAGCCATATAAACTGTTCACCAACTGTTCTTGCTTTCAAGCTGTCTGTGGAGGAAAGACTTTCTGTTGACAGCAAAAAAAAAAACACTATCATTTTAATCAATATACCCTTGCTTAAGACTGCCTCTTCCTGTTTTCCCCAATGGGAATTCATAAGAAGTCACTTCTTTAAGAGCATTTTTCCAACAGTTGAGAGGGGCAGTTGTTGCAGTGGTTAATATCCAGCTCTGCCTCTGTTTTTGATTTCTAAATTTGGGAAAATTGTTCATCTTCTATGGACTTCAGTTTCTCCTATAAAACATAGATAATAATAGCCTCTTAAAATTTCATCTCCCTCAATTTCCTTTGAAGTTTCTTCAACTCTCATACTTATTATGAATAGCAATTTAAAACAGCCTGAATGCCTAGAAGAAAGACATTTAAGTTGTCTATTGTATCATTGATTTGAGACCTAGAATCATTTTTCAAGAACTGGTGTTTTCAATCTCTTTTTGTCATTTAATTATGGTCTAATGTAACAGACAAAGCTTAAAACAACTGTTTCGAGCTGGGATTTGATGGAAAGGGAGTCACTCTTTTTTTTTTTTTTTTGTATTTGTTTTCTCATTTTCATTTTTAGACCTTGGTAAACTAAGTTGTACTGCAAAGTGTCATTACTCTAGAGCATTTTACTGACATGTTAATTTATGCTATATTTATTCATCCTCCAGAGGAGATGCAAAGTTCATTCTCACAAGCTTCAAAATGAGTCATTACAAAGGAACCCTGTTGTACAGCCTGTCATCCTTTAAAAATTGGTACTCTAATGTCTTCTCCCATTTTCTGGATGCTTTTTAGTGGTTCATCATGCATTTAAGTTTCAGAGAGATCATTTGCTATCCAATTTTGTGGCTCTTCTTTGATGTCTGTTACCCCAGGACATGTCATAAATACTCAAATTCCATGAATTGTCTTCAAGTAACTGTTCTATAGTTTGCATTGCTAAAGAATTCATAGAGGACATATGAATGGGTCAAAGTGAATGTAATGGCTTTGGAGTACTTTCATTCATAGCCAAGAGGTTAACGTTTGTGAGTTATTTGTTCTTACAGACAGAATTCAAACACACTAAGGCATTTTTGCTTTTTAAATTGTAGATTAAGGGACATGGAATCCTGGTGTGGGTCTGTCTGATAAGCACTAGACGGCTAGCCACAAGGTTGGTGGTTCAAACCCATCAGCTGCTCCTTGGAAACCCTACAGGGTCACTGTGAGTCCAAACTGATTCGATGGCACTTAATAACAAAATCAACAACTGCTGTACCTCAGGAGTAGTCACATAGATTCTTTAAAGGCACATCCTTAATATTCTGGTTTGCATCCTCATCTACAAAGCAGTTTCTCTGGAGACCCACAGCTTCAAATGACATGTGATCAGTTTCTATCTGACCTGAGGTATGCTCCATCCTGGAGAAGGAACTCAGCAATTGATTTCAACTAGACAAGAAATATTCCCAAGCATGCAATGAAACTGTTTAGTGTTACAAAACCACAGCAGATTAACAAAGCAACAAGTGGTCTGACAGGATTTAATCTGAAGGCAGATATTCCATCTTTTCTATTCCATTATCCTTTTCATCATAGGATTTCCTATTGCCATTTTTTTTTTCTAAGAAAGCTCTTTATTTTATTTCAGCATAATTACTTAAGCCATTGTGGAAAAAAAAAAAATGTCCTACCCATTATTCTTCTTTGTGCAAAGAGAAATGACAAAAATAAATTAATCAATTAATTACTTTAAATAACCATGACTAATATTTTTCTTCATTTCTGTGGATCACAGAAGTCATGAAGCATTATTGAGACTTATACAAGTCACATACACATTTCTTGAAACTGAAATTAATGTTTGAATTCATTATACATGAAAGATATTCATAAATATAATATAATCTCTAAGAGCAACTTGACAATGCTCCTTCCCCAAGTTTCAAGGCTGTGATGATTCTTCACCACAGATTAGTCTAACAAACATCAAATATAGAATCTACCATCTATCTTTGGAAGTATGAAACCTCCATGTTTGACTGGAAAGATGGCCAAGGAAATATATTTATAATTTAGCAACAATCTTTATAATTCTCTGTATAACCCAGAATCTAATTATACAGAACACAGCTTTATGCCTAAAACATTCTGATTTCCCCAGACCTACCCAATACATCTCTTTTCTACCGATGCTCTAATATATTGCTCACTTAAAAATGTCTTCCTAATGTGATGGATCACAGTGCATGGAATCACTGTACCTGCCAATCTGTAGACCCCTCCCATAAACTTCCCTCACTCAAATACTGCATTTCTGTTAGAGGTTCATTATAAACACATTTGCATGTTAATTGCTTATCTGTAATACAGGTTAGGATAGACTATATTCACATATACACAGCTTGTAAAATCAGTGATGTCATTTATTATTATTATTTTTTTTACCATGGAAAGAGACCAGCAGATTAGTGCTTAAAATGAAGACCCAATTTTAGAAACAGATGTGAGCATCATAGTAAATATATTAGAAGGTTATTTTTAGGTGTTTTAACTTGATAAAAATCAATCAATAACCCCAACACTACACAAACACCCCTGTACTCACATACACACACACACACACACCACACACACACGGCTTGTGTAGACTTGAATTTTCACTAAAAGCTAACACAATTCAAGATCCACACTAGACAGACTGAAGACACCAATCCCAAAATACCAGCATCATGGCCCCTTGGGGGCACTGACATTGTGCACACGGACTAGACAGGAGGACTAAGGAATTAGACCCATGCTCACTCACACAGGTATCCCTCCTCTGTAGGCTACACAGCAACACCACCTCTAATGACAAGCACCAGGGCCTGGCAGGCACTCGTAGACACACTCTGGGAGCTATGGAGAACCCAGCGGGTCAGGCATATGGGGCCAGAGGCTTGTATACCAGGCACAATCTCCACGCCTAGAACACTATGGACCCGAATTGGCTCCAGAACTCCGAGGATCTGCATTATGCCAAGGCGATGAGCCAACTCACCTCAACGAAATAAAAGCAGGGCAGGAGGGTGACGCTGTCCTTGATCACTTTGCCCTTTGGCCTCTCCTTCGCCGACATCCCTGCTGCCTGCCGGGGTCTGCGTCCTCCCCCGGGCGAGGTGAGCACGGTGCAGCTGACGCGAGCTGCCTCCTCCAGCCGCAAGCACCCAGCTCCACTGATGTCACATTCCCCGCGGACACCGCTGGAGCTAAGGCGCTGCATGCAGCGTCCCCGCCTCGCCCCGCCCCTCTTTGCAGCAACCTAGTGATTCCCTGGCAGGGCCGATCCTCTTCCTCCTTGATTTTGGCACCTGCTTCCGTTTTTCTAAGCGAAGAAATGTCCTGCTCCCCCTCAAAGCTGTTGCTGCAATGGCTTCTCCTCCCTGTCACCCTCCCTCCGTTCTCTCCCGCTCTTGCGAGGCTTCACGGCTGGCTGTGGGAGCTTGACGTCAAGATTTGGAAAAGGAGGACGCACCCCTGGTTCCTGCAGCAACAAAGCTGAGGAGCTTAGGTGCCTACTTCACCCTGGGCAAGCCTTCTAGGTCACTCCAGGAACATGGACTTCAGAATTGCTGGAGAGCAAAAGGACAGCTATTGCATCTACACTCGCTGTGAGAAAGGCTTCTACTTGAGCTAAATTAAAACTTGAAACCCATACTAAAAAGTAGGCCGTAGTGGGAACTTGCTGCTACCCAGGAACACCTGCCCCTGCTCAAGATTCTTTGTCCAAGCGACTCCCGGTCTCCGTACAACACCAGGTCAACCCCTGGTAAGCCCTCACTATCAGCTGTCTGGGAATAGTGAGGGGTCCCTGCATAAAGGAAGGCCAATGTATAAATTTACAAGTGATGGACATCCTCACAGAGCCCAAAGGTTGCAAGGTGTTTCAACATCATCGTCACATCTGCAGAACAACTTCAGTATTTCAGTGATAATCCCAAAGAGGACATTACACATCTAAACAAAGTCCTTCACTCCTAGGTGGTGTGCAGAATTGGTCTCAACACTGGTTTAATTTTGGGGAACATGACATAGGAGAGAAAAACACCCAGCAGATACGAAAACATTGTGCATGTCTAGGTGATTGCCAGCATTTCAGATGTCTCTATTTCAAACAGGTGACTGCAATTCTCTTTTCACCTGATTTCTTTAATCACTTCTTCAATAAATCTTTCAGAATATTAGGACTCTTTGACCCATTAACTGTATATATGTTACCACCACTATTATCTCATGGCTTCACTTTGTTCCTTGCCAGGTTTACATTCTAAAGTATATTAGTATATTCACTCCTACGTCCATCTCTCTTCACACTCATCTGGTAAAATCCTACTCCCTCTTAAACCCAGTTATCTGCCCATACTAGAATAAGTAAAAGTGGTTAGAAAAAAAAAAGGTACAACACAGGACCACATGGTTTCCTTTCATATTGAACTCATCATCACACACTTCAAGTAAAGCCCACTACCTGCAATTTTTCAAAGTCAGGCCACTTTTCTCACTCTCTTGCAGTCCTGGTGTGGCGCCATAGGATAAGCACTGGGCTTCAAGGTCAGTTTGAACCACAAGGTCAGTGGTTCAAACTCACCAGCAGCTCCTTGGAAACCTTATGCATGGCAACTATGAGTCAGACCGACTCCAAGGCACTTAACAACAACAAAGGCAATCTCATACCTCTCTTTGAAACTTCCTTATTCTCAGCTAATAACTTCAACTCTTATTTCATTAAGAAAATAGATGTAACAGACAAAAGTATCTCATCTTTCAAAACTAACTATTCATAGTACTTCATTCCCTAAACATTCCCTAAACATACACATTCATACACACACATGTCACACACATACACACACATATATGTCACCACCATCTATTGCCTGGATTAGCACAGTAGGCTTCTGTTCTCCCAGCTTACACTTTTACTACTGCTGCAACCAACAATCCATTTTCTGTATAGCATTCAGAATGATTTTTCTAGAAGAAAATCCAATTGTTTATTTAGATGTTTAATGATCTCTATTGCAACCCTCCAAAAATTCTGTCACATTCTGGGGGTTCCTGGCTGATTCTCAGACCTGCTCACTTTGCTCAGTCTCTCAAGAGTCTAATCTCAGTGAGGGACCAGTCCCAGTGAGGGACTATGCACTGACTGTGTAAAGGTGTGTGTAAAGGTTGTATCCTGTTACCATACTTTGTCCAATATTGAATGACTCAACCACTCACTTAGTTAATTCCTGTGTTCAAATTTAAACATCTCAGAAAAGATTACTTTGACCACTCAATCTATGCACCACAGACCTATATTCCTCTTTATTCTCTCATGCTATTTTATTTTTTTCATAGTACTTTATCATTGCTTTTTTTGTTGTTTAGTGCTGCTGAGTCAGTTCCAACCCAAAGCAACCCTGTACAGGGTTTCCAAGGCTGTAAATCTTTACAGGAGCAGAAAGCCTCATCTTTCTCCCGTGGAGCAGCTGGTAGTTTTGAACTTCTGATCTTAAGGTTCTCAGCCCAATTTGTAACCACTACGCTACAGATGGTATATCAGCCATCACTTTGTCTAATTTTTTCTTTCCATTCCTTGCTTCTTTCGCTAGATTGTAAACTCAGCAAAGGCAAGCACCTTTTCACCACTACATGCATCTGATTCGGAACTCTGATTGGTAAATAGTAGGTGCTTAGTAAATGCTTATTTCATAAATGAGTTCATCAGTTGAATTAAATAATGCATATAAAATTCCACTATGGTTGCTTTTGTTTATTAATTATTAAGTTATGAGCCCTGGTGTGGTGCTGTTGGATAAGCACTGAACTGTCAACTGCAAGGTCAGCAATTCAAATCCACCAGGTGCTCTCAGAAGCCCTCTGAGGGTCAATATGTGTTGAACTCACTTGATAGCACAAAACAGCAACAGTAACAATATTTTCACATTTTGTGAATTATGGCTAACATTGATAAGAATGGGAGTTCCAGACCATTTAACTGTGCTCATGTGGAGCCTATACAGAGGCCAAAAGTCATTCAAACAGAACAAGGGAATACTGCATGGTTTACAATCAAGAAAGGTATGTGTAAAGGTTGTATCCTGTTACCATACTTACTCAATTTGTATGCAGAGCAAATAATCCATGCTGGACTATCTGAAGAAGAATATGACATCTAGATTGGAGGAAGACTCATTAACAACCTGTGATATGCTAACACAACATTGTTTGTTGAAAGTGATGAAGATAAAGAACTTGAATATAGATTTCATTTTAACATAAAGAAAACCCAAACCCTTACAACAGGACATTAGGACATTTATCCATTCATGGATAAATGACTGAAATTGTCAATGATTTCATTTATTTGGAGCCACAATCAACGCCTATAGAGCCTGCAATTAAGAAATCAGATGATATATTATACTGGTTAAATCTGCTGCTAAAGATCTCTTTAAAATGCTAAAGACCAAGGGTGTCACTTTGAGGACTAAGGTGAATCCAGTCATGATATTTTTTATCATTTCATATTAGTAGGAGAGCTATATAACAAATAAGGAAGACCAAAGAAGAGTCGATGGCTTTGAATTATGGTGTTGGGGAAGATTGTTTAATATACTGCCATAAAAAAAAAAAAAAATCTATGTTGGAAGAAATATAGACAGAATGTTACTTAGAAGAAAGGCTGGCAAGACTGTAGTCTCACATGTTTTAGAAATTGCTATTATGAGGCACCAATTCCTGAAGAAGGTCATCACACTTGGAAAAGTGTAGAGTCAGGGGAAAAGAAGACCCCTAAGGAGATAGATTGACACAATGGGTGTAACAATGGGCACACACGTAGCAATGATTGTGAGATGGTGCAGGATCCAGTAGTTCTGTGTCTTGCTGTACATAAGTTGCTATGAATGGGAACTGACTCAAGAACATCTGACAACATAATAAGTATTTCATTACACTGCCAGTTATTTTGTGTGTATGTGGACTTTCTTTCCTGGTGTGGTGCTGCAAGATAATGTCCTGGACTGAAAGGTCAGTTTGAGATGCAAGGTCAGCAGTTCAAATCCACCAGCTACTCTTTGGACACCCTACACAGGGTCATTATGAGTCAAAACCGAATGGAAGGCACTCAACAATAATAACAACCACAAACAAAATTTACAATTCGTGGTAGAAGTAAAAAAAAAATCATTACTAACTGCCATTAAATTAATGTGACTCACAGAGACCCTATAGACCGCTTCTGAGATGGTAAAATCTTTACAAGAGCAATCTCATCTTCTGCAGAGTAGCTGGTGAGTTTGAACCACCAACCTTGTAATTAGCAGCTCAATGCCTAGCTCCAAGTGCCACCAGGGCTTCTTAGATAGTTATTCATTTATCAACATGGATAGTCAGCATTTGTTTATTACGTAAGACTAGAACTCTAGATCCTTAATCTCATTAGTAAACAGCTGAACATATGTGATGAAATATCAAAGTTACATGTTAACTGTGCCTTAACAGTTGATTAAATTATTGAATCATCAGAAAAGCACTGCATTTCCCTTCCTAACTGATCTTCCAATTGGTAGGGATTGACAAATGCTTCAGAATCCAAAGCCAATTTGTACCATAAATCCTTTACTCTGTCCTTGCACAGACTTTTTGATCATTATTTGCATAGTAGGAAAGAATAGATAGAATTCCTGCTGTCACATAACTTGCAATTGAATGCAGGTGGCCACCATTGGTATGTCAGCTTGCCATATTATGACAATTTGTGTGTCACTTTAGATGCTGTAAGCTATGCCACCCATGTAGGTAGATTTCAGTGAAGCTTCCAGGCAAAGACAGACTAGGAAGAAAGACCTAGTGATTTATTTCTGAAAATCAGCCAGTGAAAACCTTATTTATCACAGGAAAATATTGTCTGACCCACTTGTTTAAAATGTCATCAGAAGAAATCAGTTTCTGTAGTAAGACATCATGCTTAACCAAGTATAAGGGCCAATGAGGACAAGGGAGACCTTTGGTGAGATGCATTGGCAAGGTGGTAGCAAGTATAGAGTTGAAAATGTCAGTGATTGTAAGGATGACAAAATTTGCTCTATTGTATATGGAATTGCTATATTTGTAATTAACTCAACAGCAGTTAGCATTAACAATAACAATGCAGATGGAGAGGGGATAGACACAATAAATCAGTCATAAAAATAGAAATTTACATGGCGCTCATTATAGACAGACACTGTTAAAAATGCTTTGTGCACATCTTACCTCAATTAATCTTCACAAAGGAGCGTAGTGGCTCTGTAGGACAAACACTCAACTGCAAACCAGAA